TTAAGTTAGACTAGGTTTACACTAGAGGAGAGTTTTCCGGATTCGTAAATGTTTCCGGATTCATCAATTTTGGAGTATTCGGATTCGTAGGCGTTTACACTGAAAGGATATTCGGATTCCTGACCGTTTACACACAACGACAACTCCGGGAACATTCGAAATGGAATGGTTACCAAGCCCAGTGTTGTTTCGTCGTTCGATCGACAAAGTGAAAATGCCTCCCCCAAAAAAGGCTAGAGTAGATCCAGATGCCACTGAGGCAAATTTGAGTTGGACAGATGCCAAGCAGTCTACGTCGTCGGCGATTAAGTGTGGCTGACGTTAAACTTCCTTGCAATAATAATTTGCGTTTCTTCAGAAATACTGCGGTACACATAATAAAATTTATCGCCTGAACCTGCAACAAGATGAGGCAACCGGAGACCGCCACCAATGTTAGCACCAGATCCATTTTGGTTTCATCGCAAACTCAAAAGATTGAAGGTGGAAATAATATCCGGATTCGAGAAAAAAAGCGGTTACACGACAAAACTTTCCGGATTCAAAAGTTATCGGATTCAAAGTTCCCACTTTAAATTCCGGATTCAAAATCTCCGGAGACACGACCAAACCGGGAAGTTTTTATTTCAGATTCGTCCATTTTCGTGTAAACGGCAGAATGAATCCGGTACTAAAACGTTTCGGATTCGTCATGAATCCGGTACAATTTCCTCTAGTGTAAACCTAGTCTCAGTGTCTGAAAGATTCTGGGTTTTTTACCTCCGAGTTTCTACCTCTGTTAGATAATTTATTCCTCTTCTTTCGATAGTTGCCGCGCTTTTTTTTTTTGGCGCTTTACATCGCAAGCCAAGCGCAGTTGTTTCGCTTTCCCACATAACACGTGCTTGAATGAACTTGTTCTTCTGTCCTATACAAAGGAACAGCTGCAGTGTATTACTTGTGTTGTACCAGTGCTTGTTACGAGATACCATCATTGATTTGAGGCTCTCTGATTCACATTCCTCACATGTCTGTTTTCCAGTTCGGCGTAAATTCGCTTTAGCGAACTGTCCTCACTCAAAGCATCACGTTTTTCCAAAAAGGCAGCCAAAAAGCATTGAGATACTGACTAAATATTCTGGTTTCATTATAAAAGTGGCAGCTTTCAAATTTCTGTAGTGTTTTATCTCAATGCATTTGATAGATACAAGGGAACATTTGATCTCTCTTCAGAATGTTTCCACATGATTTTCAACTATTAATTACGAAATTGGTCTAACAAATAACTCCTACCTTTGTTTTTCTACTATGGTTTGAAATCGTTATCGTAGTAAAACTGTATATTTTGAATACACTTTTTCATTTGCCTGTTTATTGATTTTGTTTTGACGAAGCCCGTTAGAAGATGCGAGTAGTTTTAAAATACAAATCCGAGTTCAGGTGGGAAATGTCTTAGTCTGGAAGTGTAATTTGCGGCTTAAAGCTCTGAGCTTCGATAAAAGTCGTACAAATACCCCCCCTACTTTCGCTTTCCGTCGCTATAAATGAAGGACTCTTTGAAGAAATGAATTTTACCCTGTCAAACTCTTCATCTAACTTGGCTAGTTCTCTCAGTAAGCGTGGCCAATATTCAGTTGCCACCATTCTTCCTGTCTCATTTAAGGAAAGTTTCCGCCACATTTTTGGGAAATGTACTACCTGCCTCAGTCGTAATCGTCTGACATCCAAACAAGTAAAAAACATTCCATTCCTCTCGTCAAATCTTTGGTTTTCAAATATTAAATAAATTATAATCTGCCACTCAAATTTATTACGACGAAACCACGCTAACCTGAAAGTGGGGCTAAACCGCTCCAGAACAACTGAAATGATACCCACTGTATGTTTTGAGCAGATCTGTAAATGCGTCTGAAGAAATAAAATTAACATCCTGGAGCAACGTGATCAGCAAAATTTGAGCTTTTACTAACCGTAAATACAAATTGTAATTTAACGATTTCTATTGTCGCCGCA